GAAATCCTACAACTCGAGACTGCCACAACTACTGTACAATATTTCTGGACATGATAAGAGACAATTAGGGCTTATGTTGCTGGCAATGTATGAAAGTTATTGAGGCTGTAAAGGACGATGAAATATATATATATTCTGATTTCCCGTATGTAACGGCGAAGAGGGAGGCTGCTCTTACGAGACACGAATGAAGCCTGAAAGTGAAAAGTACCAACACAATAACAAGATGTTTCCTCCTTACCAGCACACACCATTTTTGTACCTCTATTGGCCATCCTGATTAAGTAAGGGAAATATGTGAGGAGTTTTTTCATAATTAACTGTGGGACGCACACGTCTATATTTCCTATCTTGCACCTACAGTACCATCCTATTTTCCCCACACATCACTGAAATCTACTGAATAAACTTTCAGAAATACAGAAAAGCTACTGGGTAACCTGGTTCGGCGGATAATCAGACAGCCTCACGACTGCAGCGTTCTGTTGAAACCAGAGCATCATACGAAAAAAAAAAAGCAGGACAGAACTAAGATTCAGATAAGACAGCATTTCAGATTAAAGGAATTCGTATAAACAGGATTTTAAGTGACCTTAATATTTACAGGAATGGAATACATCCCCCTGCAGATCTCCTCCTGTTTAATGGTGCTGTAACATCTGAAAGGTTAACAGAACACACGCCGCCACAATTAACTTGAAGCACGTTGACTCATTACAGGGAGGAGATGAGCTCGCTGCGAACACCAGCCAGGCTTTCCCCTCTGCAATCTGTTTGGAGCGGGATGTCCGACTGTGCTGGGCTCTCAGCGACAGGATGAGCAATGGCCATCTCTGCCTTCCCAGAGAGCCCTGCTCGCCTGGCTCAGGTCACGCACAAAGGCAGCTCCTCCAGAAATTAAAGGACAGCTACTGGCATTTTAATTATTGAGAGTTGTACTCAGGGAGTCACTTGAAAGCTGTGTGGTGATAACTAGTTGGTATCTGTGAGGGTTTTGGTAGGAATCACGCTGCCTGGAGGAGCGAGGAGCAGGCTGAAGGGGTTTGCAGGTCAGTTTGCCAAACCAATGCGGCTTGGCAGGAGCTGCAATTTCCAGAGCCGCGCAGCATGACACCCAACAGAGGAATGCCACCTCCCCATGTCCTCCTTAACTTCTGGCCCACTGGGCAAGGCTACCAGGGCAGCTGGTCCTTTTCTGTCCAGTTTTAGGTTATTTACTAAGTAAGAGTGGCCTAACCGAAATTTAGGACCTCATCCAGGAGAGAAGGTTGCATCTGGGCGAGGTGAGACCGATGCCTGCTTCTCCAGGACCTATCTGCTTGCAAAGGACTTGCAGGGAATGCTCCACGACGCAGCTTGGCTGCCCTTCCATTCTCTCTGCAGATTCAAGATGCAAGATCCCTGATTAACCAAATGCAATTAGCAGCGAAACACTCAATTTTCGAGCATTTTCGTTTTAACCTGAATGTACACAAAATAACACCTCCTCCACAAATGATTCGTTACGTTGGGAGTTTGTGTATCTGTGTGCACACTTACACACAGACACAGGGCTGCAAGCACGGAAGAGATACAAGTCTAAAACTCATGGCAGGTCTGGAGCAAGAGAAACCCTTATTAAACTTTAGCAAACAACCACTCAAATCAGTCAAGACTTGATCCTGCTGGGGGTTACGCTTTTCCTTTTAACCCAGCAATAGGTAAGAACACGTCTTCCTTTGATTTCAAGGGGTTTGTGTGTGAGGTTACGGTTGTGCAGTACTGGTGCAAGCTGGAGAACTCTGTCCAGCATAAGGCTGAGCCCCTAACGCATTGCATACTTCTCCGTGTGGAGGAAAACAGCTCTGTGTCACATCAGCAGGTCACAAATCTGATTTTGGCCCACATTTGAACAACTTTCACTTCACTTCTATCACACAAGAGCCTTTTGCCAACGCGGTTTTGGTGCTTTATGCGCAAACGTGTTGCCTGATCTCGTTGAGAGGCGTCCCTGCCCGTGACAGGGAGGTTGGATTAAATGATCTCTAAGGTCCCTTCTAGCCTAGGCCATTCTACTATTCTACGAAATGTTAGCTCTCTACAAAGCCATTTGAGAAACACCGTGCCTGAGTAACCGGCTTTGGGTTACTCAGCAACGACAGGGCGCAATCATCTTCAGATCTGATCTAACTTCTGCCTTCGGCTGCACAGCTACAGTTCTGCACTGCGCTTAGTGGCAAGTGTACACACATGTCTCTACGTAGCTTGTTGCCCGCGTGCTTATTTACGCACACGGCTTTGTGATGTCCTCATTGATCTGCGGGAATCTCTTCATCATCTTGCCCTCTGCCAGGCACACTCAGCTCCTGAAAATTACCTTCCCCCAGCTGGTACACACAGAAGGGCATTATCCAGAATAATAGTCGTGATGGGTGGCAGTCATAACATCATAAAAGGATGGTAGACTGCTATTAACTTACATTGTGTGCTACTCTTTACACGCCTTTTCTCTCCTTTTCCCAGTCTTCCTCCATGCTCCTACTATCTATCAGTCTCTGAAGGTTTATATCAGTAACATCTTGAAAACCACTTTAAAGAAAATGGGTTCAATCTTCCCCTTGATCTCTACATAAAACACTGACATCAAGGAGTCCCACGTGTGGGATGAACATACAGAATATGCCGTTTCAGATTAAGTTTTGTGGCTGTTGGGATCTGAAAGCCACACGAATTCTCTGTCTGGTGTGAGTGGGCAAGAAAACCTTCAGAAGTTGCATGTTCCTGAACTTTCCCGATATTTTTCAGGCCATGCCTAATTAGTACCAAATTCAGAAAGCAAAAATTTTAAGCCTGAATTATTTATCATGTCGTATTTATAAAATGCACCGCAATACACATCATGGCCCAGTTCACAACAACTACAGATAAGATTAATCTTTCACCGATGCCGTACTCCTTAATATGAAAACATAATTATCTAGCAGAAGAGTTTCTTAAATTACGTACTTTCAAACTAGTATAAGCAGAATTTATCTTTGTGTCTGGTGTTAAGCCAAGTGGAAGAAAACATTGGAAGCAGAATTGACAAAACACATGTTGGCTCTGTCTATCAACATTTCCCGCATACACCTTACATCGCCTTGTCAACATCTCAACTCCAACCTGGTCTCGAACACTAACGCAGTATTTTCCTCCCTGAACTGTGATCCTGAAGAAGGGAATTCAGAACTGCAGGTCCACATTAAAGGACAAAGTGTTTAGTTTGCAGTAAGACCCCTGCAGGTTAATAAACATTTATCTTTATCTTGCTCAATATAGAAAATTAAAAAAGAATATGACAGAAATCATTCTCACCTTTAGTGGGAGCAATTCGTATCTGCATTTGACGTGCAGTTACCGACATGCATGGGAGAAGCACAAAGTATTTGTTGCACACGCCTTTGAGAAAAAGCTACAATTTTATTCTGCATGGCATGCAAAATACATTTTCTGTAGTTTCCTCTGGAATGCTACATCCAGAAAGATATGTAATAAACTGTTAGAGTAAGTGTGTGTAAATATATCTATTTAATTTACCGTACTTTTAAAAACCACTTTCTCCCTTGAAGAAACTCACAATGACTACAGGAAAGCTTACCATCTGTTTCTCTGATGATCATCAATAATGCCCAGAAGAGTTGTAAAGCCTGATAGATGGATATATTGGCAGTAAAGAGGCTCAAAGAAAGATGAATGCATTCCAGTGAGTGAAGAACGCAGGCTGGAGGAGGGGATATTACTGAGCTTATAAAATGGATTTTCTTGTAGGAAAAATGCCCTTTTCAGGGATGCTTGCCCAGTATCTTTAAAAGTGGCTTTGTTGTAAGCAGTGTGTAGAACTTCCTATTTTCACATTTTATTTAATTCTTACAAAGTTTTTTTCATTGTACTTTCTATGTATCATTTCACTGCTTTTGCTTCACCCTTCTAGGAGCTGAGCTGCCGTGGTGACGTTCTCTCCACCAGAAACAGAAGGCATGCACTGGTTTAAGCCATAAATGAAGGAGCAAGGTGACAGTACCCCAAATGCTGGCTGCCTGACCAGCCTGCCCCGCTCCATATTTTCTTCCACCCTGTACTTGTCTGGAAAACAATTAAATTTTCCATATGAATTGCTGTTAATGTAAATGCATTTTGATTGCTAGTGCTGCTGGTAGTTCTGCAGTTGTGGGCAAGAATATAAGTTTATTTCCCTCCAAGGCCTCTACAGGGTGCTGAGGGAGATTAACCAGTATTTTAGGCAGCCAAGTGTGAAATATTGGTTGGGTCAATAATTTGCTCCCTGCTGCTGTTAGGTTAGCTGTCCAAAGCTGGCAAAGAGACATATCGCTATGGGGTCAAGTGTGGGTCTGATTGTCCTGAGTCCTCCAGCTTGGACTCTCCAACTCCACTGACCACTCCCCTCTGCCTCTGTAGTCACGAGAACTCTTTGTCAAAGTGGCATTAATCCTCCCCCAATACCAGCCCTTCCGCGTGACGACAAGCATGGAAAAATGGGAAAAGCATAAAGACAGTGTTTTGTGACCAAACTGGGGTTTGTATGACCAGCTGTAATGACTCTTAGGGATCAGAAAACATCTATCTGCACCCCCAGGGGTGACGATCCCGAGATTCACCGGACCACAACCGCAACCCCGGGGAAAGGGCTACTCAAGGAGAAAAGCTCTGCAGGATTTCCAGATGATCTGCATCCCTCCCGAGGATTCTTTTTACAGAAGGATAACATCTGGCTCCAGGTTTGGAGCCATCTTCAACTAATCTGAATACAAATTTAATGAATGCCAATTATTGTCACCATCGGGAGAGATTTAAATACGAGTAAGTTCGGCTGATCTTGTCTCAACCTATTATTCACAAGTTTGCAGTCACAAGTCCGGTGCTATAACTGATGCAATAGCAAAGCAAAACAACTCACCAAAAAACCCCTCCAAACCCCAGACAAAAAGCCCCCCAAGGTTTACAAAGGTAATTGTTAATTTTACCTGTCCAGCCTGCAAGACAGCAGCAGTAACCGGTGACAGGATCACATCCATCTGCATGGCTACAGTCACAACGTTCACTGCAATTAAGACCATATGTTCCATCCTTCCAAAAATATAATAAAAAAGTCTCTCAGTAATCAGTTTTTGGTTCTAAAATGTACAAAATCATCTATCATGTCCCTCTTAATGCTGAATTGCGTTTTTTTAAATTAACATACAGAAGAGATAGAAACAACTCAGCGCTTAACATTTCTACATAGAACCAGAGGAGGAATCACTTTAAAAAATGATGTTCAAGAAAATGCAGATAACACGGCAATAGCTCTGATAAAATACAATGCACAGTATAATATGTCTACTTGACTGCTAGAACCCCAATCTGTTATTTCCACATGATTTCCTTCAGATATCTATAGACAAAATGAGATAGAGACCTGCTGTACATTTAGAGGAGCTACATGGACTGTGGTTTTAGAGGGGATGCAAGCCCATCCCAGCTGTACTTACGGGACATGGCTGGTCACAGAATTCCCCTTGCCATCCTGGCGAGCAGAGACAAAAGCCATCAGCTGGCCTGCAAGCCGCTCCGTTGGTGCAATAACACGTCTCGTTACAATTAAGCCCCCAGCTTCCGCTTGAGCACGGAATAGAGCAATCCACTCCTTGCCACCCTAAAGAAACAGAGGAGACAAACAGCATTTGGGATGTTTTAATGATAAAAAAGCAAGGTAGAGACAGCAAGAAAGACAGCTTGTGTCTCCTGTTCTTGGTGTAAGTTAAAGACTATCCTGGGGTGAAAGACTGACCCTTTAACTCTGATCGCTCAACTTCATCCACCAGCACCTGTACATACAAAAAGGTGATAAAGGTATTGCTGAGTTGGCTGTTTATCAGATGAAGGTGTGGGACGCCTCCCTGGGAGCTGCTGGGGCAGCCGGAGAGCGCGGTACTGTCCGGCAGGCTGGAGATCTGCCGATCAGCGGGAATGCAAAAAACTTGCCATTTGATGCTGACTGTTTCTTTTTTTTTTTTCTTTTCAAGAATTCTCTTTAATATAAAGAACCTATTTCACCTAAAAAAAAAGAGCAAGGCCATAATTTCTAACCATTAAGGCTCAAATCTTAACTACCAGCCGCACAACAGCTTTCATCACACCGCGGCTGTATGTAATGGAGTTGAGCAGTAACTCATGGTTTATACACCCTCATTAAATGGGGTTCTACAGTAATTCATTAATTCATATCTGAAATGTCAGATTTTATCGTTATTTGCCTCTCTTCTGGTTTAGGGCTTATGCATGCCACACAGGCATAGCTCCTGTTGGTATTCTGGGAGGAGGCACCGCTACACAGGGAACACAGGAGACCCTGTGCTGTGGAGCAGGGCAAGATTCTGAAGTGACGACTGGATATAGGGGTTACGCTCACCACTGAGCACATGAGGGAATTGGGGACATATGGGTGGGAAGAAAAGAGGGGCAGGAGGCTGCCTCTGCTCCCTTGCCCAGCTGTGTCATGCTAGGCATGGAGGGGAGAACAGGAGCTTTTGAGTCCTGGAGAAACAGGGCAGGAAACTGATAGAGAAAAAAAACCAAACAACAGTCTGAGGATCACTTTGCATTTCCTCTGGAGAGGAGCGGTGGCTCTGCCAGCACGCTTACTTCTGTGAGCTGTTTTTGCAGCAGAGCAGTTAAGCCTGGCCCCTGTTCAGGGCAGAGACAAAACATACAGGCAAGCCCCTGTTGAGTTTTGATGCCTGGGCAGACTGTTGAATTACTGACAGGCACAAGAAAATAGTGGAGTTACTGACTGCACAGCTGTGCCACTTTAAAAGGGGAGAAGCATTGACGCCAAATTGCAGACAATTGTTAAATCTGAATTTTGTTTACCTTCTCTGCAATAGCAGAGCCCATCCACAGGGGAACACGCACCCTCGTTTTTGCAATTACAAACCGACGAGCAATTGGTTCCGTAGGTTCCTGCCATGCAGGTAATGGTGCAGTCATCTCCCTGCAAACCCAAAAAAGAGTCGTCGTCAGCTAAAGGAATCTGAACTGCAGGAAATTCCCATCTCTGCACAGGGAGGCTTTCTCTTTCGAACAGTGAACAGAGTGTTGTGAGCTGATTGCTGAGTCTTCAGCACTTGAGCAGTCACCACTGCTTCCCAAGTTTATGATGCAATTAGTGTTTTGATTGACTTGGAGGAGAGGGACAAGTTTCTGGCGTCCATTCAGCATTACAAAAACAAACCTCCTAGAGCAGATGTTAGATCATTAAGCAAAACATCACTTATGGAACACTCATCACGAAACATCCAGTCTGAAACTGTGCAAAGATTGCTCGGCATTTCTTGGGAAATATATTCTAAGCCTAATGTTGTTAAAAAGCTAAAGGATCTCCTACGTGCTCATCTTCCACAGACTGGCAGAGAGGAAAACTACATGGCAGGTGCACTAGATCTTTTTGATGTGTAGCTGGTACCTGCATTTGTTTTCAGCTAATTTGCATGAGATTGTGACTTTAAGAAGAATGCTGAACAAGGAGCGATGCCTATGTCAGAAAGAGGAGGCACATGGAGCAGAACACAGAAACCAACAGTCTCTCTCCTGTTTCTGCCTTAGGTGTGGGGAAAGTGAGGGAAAGGAGAGTAAATACTTGAAAGCTGCAGAAATATAGAATATTGCAAAAGTAAATTATGGTACACTCTATGCGCTGATTAACTTGTGTGGCCGAGAGACACGGTTCTTATTAACATTGTCCATCTGATCATAGAATCACAGAATGGCCTAGGCTGGAAGGGACCTTAGAGATCATCTAGTCCAATCTCCCTGTCATGGGCAGGGACGCCACCTCTCCACTAGACCAGGTAACACATGGGGACCGAGCGGGAATCGAACCCGCGATCTCAGTGTTGCCATTGTCGTCAGCACCACACTCAAACCACTGAGCTAATACAACTCGGGAATTAAAATGTGAGCACAGTTCCTTTAAAATTACCTACTGAGTCCCGTAGATGGGTCTACATACGTTAGCATATACAAGACATCTCTATTCCTTTTTATTCCATGCATAGTCCTGACATTCATATCACAAATTAGCTCCTAAATTTACTCCTTCGGTGAGTCAAACTTTAATAATTTAGTTCTATGTCAGAGAAAGCTATCCTACTCTGAAGTTAAATGTAACTACATTGCACAGTGTGACCTATACCATAGCTCAGGGGAAAAGATATTGCCCAAAATCGTAATTTTGCAGGTGAGAGGCTTCACTGTATGATAGGAGGATCCATTTATCAGGAGAAAAATGTACAAAATGTCAGCCACCCTGTGCCATGGCAAGTACCTCCAGGAGCCTGTATATCACAGCATCAGACACTGAGAGAGTAAAAGGAAATACGAACAGATTTCTGAGCACCATAAACCCCCATATGCTTGCTGTAGCAGTTCTGCCTGGCACCAGTGTGACTCATCCTGTTTTATATTAAAAACTTTGGTTTAGGGGGTAGTAAAAGAAATGGTTAAAAAGACATGTCGCTCAGAAGTCAGTCCTACACGTCTCTGATTTTTGAGTGAAAGCGGTGTTTGTAAAAGATGCTATCTTTGACCTTGGCGGAGTAAAACAAGTTCCCCTGAAAGGGCCTGGCAGGAAAAGGCGCTGTCTTGACAGCCGGAAAATCCTGAGCCCGCTGCCCCTCATTACCCTGCCAGCATGCCTACAGAATGAGCTACAGGAACCCGGAGCCAAGCGCGATGGCAAAGGGGCACTCAGTCTCCACGCCTAATCAATCCTCTGCCTTTCTCCTGCGTGTGACAATTAGGCAGCCAATTAGTGCCACTTAGAAAGCCGTATCTTTTGTGAATGAAACTCCCAACTCGTTTCATGTAGGACACAGAAGTGCTGGCACTGCCAATAATTTCTATGACAACTGATCTTATCTGGATTTGAACTAGTGATCTAGAAGTAAGAGAAAATTCCTTCGAAAAGAAAAGCGGAACAGAGTGGTGTAATGCTAAAAGAGCCCCTTGGGAACCAGGATAACTAAACCAGCACCCGGGCCATGGGTAGGGGCAGCAGGTGGATTTCCAGCCCCCCAGCTGACTCCCAGCTCGTGCTGCGGGGTAAGTTCTCCCTGGCCAAGTGCACAACGGGCTGGTGCGTGTTGAGCGGTCGCTCTGCGTGGAGGGCACTCCCACACAGACACTTTGGGGATGACGCCAAAGAGAAGGTATCGTACACAAGCTGAACGTCAGGCTGCTTCATCTTTATTTGAGTTTTGGCATTTACTTTAATGCATTATACTTTACGGAGTAACAGAGGTTGGTCATTCTGGCTGTCCAACCTTCTAAGCACCTACTTTGCAAACAAACCTTAACTGAAAAAATAACTGGCTTAATGAGATTTCTGTCTGTGGGTTTGACTAGCGAGACCTTCAGAGCTCTCTGAGTGACAACTGCCAAATACACTTAACTTCTTAATTACATAAGAGGAAAATGCACTTGAACTATAGCACTGGCTCTAAGATTTTATTAATTATAAATGCACATCCCATTATTAATATTTTGAACTTGATTTGGGAGAATGACCTATGAAATTAAATGCATTCAGGTACTGTTAAAGATATGTAAATTCCACTTCCCTCTCACCACCTGCTCAAGTGAATAATGCTGCAGTATACATCTATCCAGTTGTTAATGAGTTATATATTCTGTTACCAGATTTCAGATGTTGTGTATTGAATCTTCACTCTTGCAATAGGGTACTTTATCTTTCTATCCTATTTAGTAAAATTAATCAACAGCTGTGCTCCTTATGTTGATTATTCTTTTTTTTTCTATTGAGATCAGCAGGTTAATGAGAGTAGTGAAACGCCTGGATGTGGTATACATGATAGGAAAGAGTAGCTAATTCAATCAAACATATACCTCTATAAATCTCAAAGCTATATTAAGAAATCTAGCTATACATAACTCGCTGTTTTGCACCTCTATTTTCCAAGTCGAGATGGACATCACAAACTTTCCAAAGTGCTTCATCTTCCTAAACATTTTCACTTAGAAGGCCCAATTATCAAAATACGCCCTTGAAGACTATCGAATGCATTATTTCTTAATTTCAGGGATTGAATCTGACTCTCACAAAATCAATGGAAAACCTCTTTTTAGAGGATGTGGGGTTAGAGCCAGCTCCTGTAAAAGCCTCACTCGGTGCGTGAAGAGGCAGGTTCCTGCTCTGCTTTGCACGCCCCCTTGCAGAGCCTGGCCTGCAGGGTGGCACCTCCCTGCACCCAAGGACAGGGTGTCCCACATCTCCACACAGCTGCCCAGAAGCTAACACGAGTCAGCCTTCTTCGCTGTTTGAAATACAAATCTGATAGAAGTATCCCAACACAGCAAAGTTACAGCTTGCGGATCCCCGGGACCCTAAAAAGTCACCTCTAAATCAAAATGAGTGGTGGCAGTAATGTAACAAACATCACCTGCATGATCTTCTATACCTTTAAGTACTTCGGAAATGCTAATTGCTGCTGAAGCTAAATGACAGACCTTTCTAGCACCACAAGAGGTTCGGGCACACAGTTCTCGTTATTGTTCATTCTCCCCCAGGTATTGAGGGTTAGGTCCAAGGAACCAAACTCCATTAATAACCCCAGCTGCCAGCTCGCATCCATCAGCATCAAATATTAATAGACTCACGAGGGCCAGAACATACATCTTTCCAGATGGCAGTCAATAATACGTCTTGTTTCTGTTCAGGGAGAGGGCAAGATTTTCTTCCACGAAAATTATTGTTGTACAATATTAGTAGAGCTTAAAGACACACGGCTGCCTTAGGTGCTAGCTGTGTTAACAAGCTCTGGACACTTCAGAAAGTGTTTTCCCTGGATTAATATTGCCCTAACAGATGAGATTTCTTGTTTCTGTTAAAAATATATTCCTCCTGCAAACAACGACCAACTCCCTTTAAAATCCTCCTCCAGTGTTCAATACAAAGATTCACATTTATTCCTCTACCTTTTGGATCAGGCCTTTAAATGCCTGAAAGGTATTTTCAAAGGAAAAAAAGGGTATCCCAGACCATAAGGGGAGTTAATAACCCAAGAATAGTCAACAACACCTGGCAAAGTCTGCACCCATATGTGGACTGTTTCAAAGTTTAACAATTTAAGGATGTGAAATGAAGAATTTTGGAAGTAGCTACAATCTACAGGAATAAATCTGCCTTGGAGGGCTAAAGCCTGGTTCCACTGAAGTCAGTGGCAAAAGAGAAAATCAATTTTTCAAGGCCTCTGCAGGGCAGAAGACTAAGAGGGCTGTTACTGAACTTGGCCTCAAGTTTGCATGATAAAGACCTATGTGACAGGTTGGTTTGAGTGCTCTTATGGTTTAATCTGGCAAGGTGCTGAAAATCCTCAGCTCCTGTGCAGATTATTGGGGAGGACTGACAACACGGCAAAGCCACACATTTGACCCGTCAGTAATCCAAAACGTGACTCCAACTAATCTGAGATTTGCAGTACGGTATCTGATTTTCCCCCCCATCCTCCTCCTCGCCTTTCTTGCGCCAGAGGAATTCGAGGCGCGGTGCCTGTCACCAGCAACGGGGAAGCTCGATGCTCGGTTCTCTGAGCTCATAGTGCACGAGGTAGGAAGAAGGCCATGGTGCAGTGCCACATGGATGTAATGACAAATAGATCAGAATACAAATCGCAGGTGCTGTTTGCACCGGATGCCTGTATGTCTGGATAAGGCGACTGGCACGGATTTAGCACATGAAGGCAGACATTTACATGCACGCACCCAACGTGGCACACCAGCGTGTGTGCGATGATGCAGACCGCAGATACAGTTCTGTATATTTACTTACTTAATTGTGACATTTACAATTAACCCGAAGTGGTTCTCCACAAACATTCCCTCAAGGTAAACATATGGTATCCAGCAACACAAACTGTCAGAACAAACTAATTTCCCTGATGGTGTTCCAGTGGAAATTAATGTGCTCCTCACAAG